ACTCATCAAATGTTCTCTTCTTCCCACCCTTCTCCTTATCTGCCACCCATGGAGACCTAAGAGCCTTACCTTTTGCTATGGCTCTTGTAGATTTTCTCAATTCAGTTCTCCCATGCTCTTAGTGATCCTCATTTTGTTCTTTTTATTCTCCGTCTAAATCCACATCTGCTTCACTCAATTTTTTTTCTTCTATCTGTTTTTCATCCTAACGATCCTCATTTTGTTCCTTCCTTTATACTTGCTGTTCTTACACTACCTCCAACATATTTCATATCATCTTCTCAATCACTTATAAACTTATGCTCTATATGAACAAAACAAAAGAGATGATTCCCAGACATACTGGCCACTATTAATGTAAACTTGCATCAACGATCATCCAGTTGTTATTGACAAGTGAAGCAGCATTATTGACAACTATCACGACATCCATTGACAACTTTCACATCCTATATTGACAACACAACATCCCATTTCGCAGGAAAGGTTACTACCCACACTAACATTCATCTTCTTTAGCCTTTCACACTAAACTATGCTAAAATAGAGCTAAATTACTCACAATATAACCAAAAATAGAACACTCATCATCATCCTACCCACCTATAATGAAACCTTAACTTAAATCACCAACCCACACCTAATAAAAACACAACCTTTTTATTGATTAACTTGTTCATATTAGACTAAAAACAAAAGCTTTGCAACCTAAAAGTAAAAATGATTTTTTGAATTTCCATATCCAAACACAATCTGTCAAGCAAAATGCTATAATAGAGGAGGGGAAGAAAGTTTCAAACCTGAAAGTATGGAGAGATTAAAATGGAAGCTCTTTAGAGTTCACTAATGGTGATCGAAAAGATGCCTCATCATTAATGGCCACTTTCTTCTTTCTCTAGCTCTTCTCTCCTACACGTATCAACTTTAAATCACGTGAGAAATATGAGCGCCCTTTTCTTCTACATTACTGGGTAATAATGTCTTTTTGACATTCTTATTATTGTAGTTAAGTCCCTATAGGACTTGTGATTAATTATCAGATTTCAAAAGACTATTTTGTAGCATATTTCCTTGTGTGGGACCTTAGTGTCATTTTCCCTTAATTATTTCCGCATTATGGACGGCAACATATTAGAAGTATTTGTACCTTTATATAAGAGTTAAAATTATTTTCAATTCATAAAATTTGATCTTATTTAAATTTTGGTTCTTAAAATTTGAAATCAATGGTTATGGTTTCTAAAATCTGACTTTATTTTAGTTTTGATTTCTGCAATTTTAAACATGTGATTTTAGTCTTGAAATTTTATTTTATTTTGGTCTAGCTTAAGATTTTTGATATTTAAAACAAGGATTAAAACTAAAATAAAGTTAGATTTTAAGGATGATAATAACTTGTTTCAAATTTTAAAAATCAAAATTATTGGTTTCAAATTTTAGAGACTACAACTAAAATGAAATTAAATTTTAGGAACTAAAATATATTAATCCTTTATATAGTAATAGTTTTCATCATTCTATGAATTCCATGAATGTCGTTTTGGGGGGTAGGACTTGGATTCACTGGCTCATAAAGAGATTTTTACCCCTCCGAACACAAAATAAGCGGAGAGAATTATAATGAGGTTTTAAAAAAATAATTACTAACAAGTTTTAATAATAAATGAGCAATGATTATTTATTACTCTAAAAATTATCATTACAAACTATTTTATATTATTGTAACTTTTTTAGTAATTATATTTTTTTACTTGAGATTTCTTAACAACTCTTCCAAATAAATACTAGCAGGTATTTTTAGGAAAAACTGTAATAAAATCCCATCTAAAACAAATTAAATGCAAAAAGATCTCTTAAAATTATCAAATTATTCTAAATTTTTAAGAGAATTCATTGCAATAAATTTTATTTGTTTAATTATCAAATTATTTTTATTTTTTTAGTATATATTGACAACTAAATGAACAGTTATTAACAACCTAAGGTATAATGATTAACAACTATCACGACAAGTATTAACAACATATTTTCTTAACATATCACAAAAATATAATACATAAGTTATTAATAACTACCACGATAATTGTTAATCATTATACTTTAGATTGTTAACGATTGTACTTTGAGTTGTTAATGCATACTTTTTTAAAAAATAAAAATAATTTGATAATTAAACAAATGAGATTAATTACAATGAGGTCTTTTAAAATTTCAAATTAATTTGATGATTTTAAGAGGCTTTTTTATTTAATTCTTTTAGATAGGATTTTCTTATATTTTTCCGTCTTTTATTAGAATAAATTAACGTTCTGGTTAGTTGTAAGCGATGATGTCAGCCCCTAGGGTCTAATCATAGCATATACATGCTTCCGCGTCCATTGTCAGAGTCATTTTCACCATTACAGGAATCAAGAAAAAGTTTTAAAATCATTAAATTTCTCCTTTTTTTTTTTTTGACCACAGGTTGTCTTTCCACCTTTCACACCACAGAGAAATAAATAATGGTCCTTATCAATATATACATGCGTGTGTGTGATGCCATCCATGACAGCCAAACCTTGAATTCGTGGTTGCTTTGAAACTTGTCCCCTCCCAATTTGAGCCTTTCCTTTTTTTGTTTTTGTCTTTTTTTTCTCCTCCTAATTTTGTTCAATATATATATGTGTGCGTATTTTTTCGACCACATATATATATGTTTATGTATTTGAAAACATGGGATTTCATCTCTAAAATTATAGTCAACTTGGATTAAAATCCACGCAAACTTTTCATTTTGAAACCAGTCATTCACATTATTATCTCTATTCCTAATTATAAAATCTTATTTATAATCTACAAACAAAATTTTTTCATTAGAATTGGAGGTAGTATTATTTTTTGTAAAGTTATTGTGTAAACAGTTGATCCATGTATTATTTATTGGAGTGTTTGGGTAGACTATAGTTTTAAAGGTGATTTTACAGTATATAAAATAAAGATGTAAAAAGAATTTTGTCTCGACTCGTATGAAAACACTTTTTAAAAGTGTTTTTTAGACTATTTGTAAAATGAGTTTTCCTTCACCCCATGTCGGTACGAGAGGAAAGAAAGGAAGAGGCAAAAAAAATTTAACCGGTTTAATTAAAAAAATTGAAAAAGAGTTATAAATTTTTAATAAGGATAAAATGTAAAATAAAATAGTAAAAAATTGATTTAAAAAATTTTAATTTCACTTCAACATATTTTTGAATTAAACTCATTAAATTTTTTTTCCCACTCTCATCTTTTTCATTTCCTTCATCCCAGACAGACATTTTTTATGGTCTGTTGTGTTGGATTTGAGGGGAATAGAAAGGAGGTACGTGAGATTTTAATAGCTCCATTTAAAAAGAAAAAGAAATAGAATTGAAAGATTTTAATTGAATTCGCTCTCTTTCTTTTTACATTTTTTTCTCAATTAAAAATTTATGATCTCACTAATCCTTTTTTTCCCCAAAAAATTGAAGTCATTAAAGTTTTAAAAAAGTTGATGAAAAGTCTCCATTTAGAAATTTTATTAATAAGAAATATTTAACGTAATTTTATACAAAAAAATTAATATTTTGCACAATTTTATACATAAAAAATCCCTAATCAAATTAAAATTCTTCTTACCAATAAAATTTTCAAATACAAACTTTACACTAATTTTCTCTAAATATTTCCTCTCTCCCCTTGTATTCCCTTCAACACAAACATAAAATTAATATTTCCAAAATCTAATTGATATTATCATATATAAAATATTACTCCTCCGGTTTTTAATATAGAACTCAATTTTTAAGTTGGTTTTGGTCCTAAATATAAGACTCATTTCTCATATTTATCAATTTTCTCTAAATTACCCCTATAGATACTCCCTCAACCATAATCAAATAGAAGAGGTGATTATGGTATTAAAAAAGATGATTATGGTATTTTAGGAAAAATGTGTCACTTTTCTTATAATTAACTAACTTACCTAACTTTCTTAATCTAATCAAATTAGTTAAATCGGTCTTATATTAAGGATCGGAGGAGTAATATAATACTTTTTTTTTTTGGTGAACAAAATTTTAGGAAAGGGGTTGGGCTCACCTACGATCCAAGGGCAGGGCAACTAACCTTTGACTCCAGCCCTACCCAGCGCCGTAGCTTTACTGGGACGGGGAAACCTCCACGTGAGGGATCACCACATGTTATGAGCTGAGGCCTTGGCTTCGAAGATGCCTCCCAATCGTCGTGACTGGAGTCACAACAAAGTGGCACTCCCCAGGATCGAACCCCCTCCTTTTGGTGAGAGTGTTCGATCCCTTCGCCAGCTGAACCCAGGGACGAGGGGTAATATAATACTATTTTAAATATAAGAGTTGGATAAGAAATTTGTTTTGATTTCAAATTTATAATTTTGTTTTAAAAGTATCCTTATTAGTAGTAAGATGGTTTTTAGTCCTAACTAGTTACACGTGCATATAATTTAAAGAGGTATTTTTTAAAAAAATCAATATATATTTATTATAAAATAATTACTTTAACTAATTTTTATTATATAGGAAAATTATTAGAATTTTATTGTTGAATTCGTTTTTCCTCACTTTTCTTTTCTCTTGAATTTTCAAAGGGGCGTTTGTTCGTTATCGTTTTTTTCCCCCCGTACATTGTTCGTTACCGCCGTATATAATATAAAAGAGCTCACTCACCTCATATATATAACTAATAAATGCAATCTGTCCAATCAGAGAAAGAATATTTATTTTAAAAAAAACATTTGAAGAAAACCGAAGATTCCTTCGTGATTCTTTATGACATCCTGGTCTCATGCCGAAAACTGGACCGCGCAAGCAAGCCACTTGCCACGGTTCCGAATAGTCCAACCCCCATTCGCCACGTACGCATCTCCCTCTGTCCTCAAATCACGTCCAGGTTCCACACCTGAAAGGCCGCCTTGCTCTGCTCGGCTTCTATATATGATCTGCGGTTTCTATTCTCGTGGCTTACACACACATCTAACCCGCAAGAGATCCTCTCCCTCACACACCCAAATCCCCAAATCTTTGAAACCTCTTAGATTTTGATTTCTCCAATGGCCCTTGCTGCTCCATCTTCTTCTTCAACTGCGGTTTCAAGTTCTGGCTTTTCTAGATTGGTTTCCTCGGCCGAGCCTAAAGGTAAATTAGTTTATTTGGATTGTTTGGCTGCTAAGAAAATATTCAGGTTCGGTCAAACATTATGATTCGAATTTAATTCAATTGTTCGGTTAATGCTGAGCATTAATGGCAATTTCCTCTTTCAGCTCCGTCAATTGGTTTATTTCGAGTTTCTGAGAAATCCCATGTTTCTTCCCGAATTTTGAGTTTGTCTCAAAGACGGTGCTCGGTGAACTCCATAAACGCTGAACCCCCGCGGAAGGATTCAATTGTTCCCCTTGCAGCAAGCACCGTTGCTCCTGGTATGCTTTTTTTTTTTTTTTTTTAAATTTATCCCCTTTGCTTTTCGAGTTTGACTTTTGATTTCCCATTGATTGGAGCCACTCAGGCAAGGTTGTGATGTTCTGTGGGTGATTCTTCTGATTCTGCAGAGGTTGTCGAGAAAGAAGAGGAAGATTATGAGAAATTGGCAGGAGATCTTAGTAATGCTTCCCCTCTTGAAATAATAGACAAAGCCCTGGAGAAATTCGGCAACGACATTGCTATTGCTTTCAGGTAGGCATTAGAAAGCAATAAGTGGCTATTAGCTTATTAGTGATGATCCCTTTTGATGAACTTTCTCTCAAGTGGTAGAAATTCTAATGCGCCTTTTCGTTAAGATTCTCCTTGGAAGAATCTTGTTAGTGCTGTTTTTTTCCCCCTTCATAGAAGCTTCATTGTGCAACACAAGTATTTGTTGACCAAAAAAGCCATTGCGTTTCAAATGATTATTTCAATCCAAAAGGTCAAACGGTTTGGACGAAGGCTCGTGTTTAAAGTTTATCATTAATATATAATCTCGGACCATTCATAAACCGTGAAGAAGGTGACTTAACTCTGATTTCATGCATGAGAAAATGCATCTAATCATCTGCTGAAATTTAGTATTTTTCTGGTAAGAAATGAGAATATCACGGATTTAACTCTGAACCATTTGGTTGTGGAGGTTGTGGTTGTGAATCAAACACCACTGCAACTCAAACTTCTTAAGCTGTTACACAAAAACACTTGACGTGATTAGTTTTTAGCGGGTATATGTTTGAGCAGTGAATGTGTTGTCTGAATTTTAATGGTTAACTTTGCCTCCGTGCAGTGGTGCTGAAGATGTAGCTTTGATTGAGTATGCACATTTGACGGGTCGTCCCTTCAGGGTGTTCAGTTTGGACACTGGACGACTGAACCCAGAAACTTACAGATTTTTCGACGAAGTTGAGAAACATTATGGAATTCGCATTGAGTACATGTTCCCTGATACCATTGAGGTTCAGGCCTTAGTAAGAAACAAAGGGCTCTTCTCATTCTATGAGGACGGCCACCAAGAATGCTGCCGAGTAAGGAAGGTTAGGCCCTTAAGGAGGGCCTTGAAAGGCCTCAGAGCATGGATCACTGGACAAAGAAAAGACCAATCACCAGGCACAAGGTCTGAGGTACCTGTTGTTCAGGTTGATCCAGTTTTTGAAGGAATGGATGGTGGAATTGGTAGTCTAGTGAAGTGGAACCCAGTGGCTAATGTGAAAGGCCATGACGTTTGGAACTTTCTTAGAACCATGAATGTTCCTGTTAACTCATTGCACTCACAAGGGTACATTTCTATTGGTTGTGAGCCATGCACAAGGCCAGTTTTGCCAGGACAACATGAAAGGGAAGGAAGGTGGTGGTGGGAGGATGCCAAAGCTAAGGAATGTGGCCTTCACAAAGGAAATCTCAAGCAAGAACTCAATGGGAATGGGAATGGCGTCGCCCAAGCAAATGACACCGCAGAAGTTGTAGACATTTTCAACACCCAGAACGTGGTGAGCTTGACTAGGAATGGAATTGAGAACTTGGCCAACTTGGAGAACCGAAAAGACCCCTGGATTGTTGTTCTCTATGCACCATGGTGCCGTTTCTGTCAGGTAAACAATAATGCCCTTGTTCATATATTCATATTCTAACTATTGCGCGTGGCTGTGATTCTGATACGCCATTACCTGTCTGAAAATAGCTGTTTTCTTAGTTTATGGTTGGCTAATGAGATGCTTGATGCTGGCTTGTAATAGGGAATGGAAGATTCATATGTTGAGTTAGCAGAGAAGTTGGCAGGGTCAGGGGTGAAGGTTGGGAAATTCAGAGCAGATGGAGAGCAGAAAGAATATGCAAAGAGTGAATTGCAGCTGGGAAGCTTCCCAACAATACTGTTTTTCCCAAAGCATTCAACTCGCCCAATAAAGTATCCTTCTGAAAACAGAGATGTTAACTCGTTGATGGCGTTTGTGAATGCCCTCCGGTGATTGGAAAAAAAAAAACAGCAAGAAACAGATCTTCCTTTAAAAGATTTTGGGAATTCATTGGGGAAGGGTATAAGCAAGGCAGTTTTGACTGAAGTTTTCTGCAACAAGGAATTATAGATCCTAGTTCCAGTGTTGTTAGATCTCTCGTTGGAATATGACCGTAGTGGCCTTTCTGTATGTAAGCAGGCTTTGGCTGGATTGCAAGCTACTCTTTGGCTGTATAAAATCCCAAAGTTCATTCTATAGACCATATTCCTCAGGAATGGTTGCATCATGATATGTATAGTTTGAGTGTTTTTTAATGATATCAGATTGCCAAATGGTGTCCTGACAAGTTGATTCTTCTTTGAATGCAACGTCGGGTGATTGAATCATTAAAAATTTCATGAGCACCGAGATGGATTGATGTAATGAAAATTATAATAAAGTCTTAAAGAAGAAATATAATTGCCAAATTCTAATAAAAGTTTTCATTTTCTATTCTGAAATTTATTATTATATTTTGTTTAGTTGTTATTGAAACTTTTTAGTAAGTGTGTATATATTTTAGATTTTGTTGCAATTCTCCCATTAATGTATAGTTATGTTGGAAAAGTAATTCGCCCGATTCTGCCAATGTCCTTGTGGTGTGGTGGTGCCTTATGTTGGCACTGATCAAGAGCTCGAACTGCATAGCATTTGGCTTGCAACTTAATTAAAAAAATTCACCCGATTGTAAAATTCAAACTTAAAAAAATGTAGGGCTTGTTTGTTTTTGTTTTTTGTTTTCTTCTCAAAACAATTTTATAAAATTGTTTTTTACAACAAGTTTTGAAAACAAAAAAAAAAAAGAATTTGTTTGGATAATAATTTTTAAAAAATCATGTTTGAAAAAAAAAACCTATAAAAAACCATACTTGATAGGTCATAGTTGTCGTTGATAATAACAAGGGGTGGATATTAGGTGAGAAGAGAAGAAGATTTCTCAAAACTTTTCAAAACAAAAAATAAAAAATACAGAAACAAAAATAAGAAAACATGTAAAAGTTGTTTTGGTTTTTAAAACATGTTACTGTTTTTGTTTTTTAAAACAGTCAACTAAAAACAACTTACCAAATTAGTTTTTTTTTGTTTTTCTGTTTTTAAAAACAAAAAATTGTTTTCAAAACAAAAAAACTAAACAAATCCATAATCGCCCAATTCTAAAATTCAAGCCTCACCTATCCAAAAGCATGCTTGTGCATGAAAGTTATTATTTTTTCTTGATAAACATTTTATCAGTAACTTAAATTATTTTTAGATAAAATTGTTATTTATATTGATTGTATAGAATGTCTATGATCTTAATTACATAATATGATATGAAAAAAAGAGGGTTTGCCTTTTAGGCCAAAATTTTTCATTTATTGATTTGCCGGGGGAGGGTTGGATTAATGTGTTAATGAGGCAGATTATTTATAATTGTGAAATAATATGATTCATAAAAAATATAGGCAAAAGTACATTTTTTTTAATATACTAAAAGGCAGGAGTGCATATTTAATCCTTTAATTTTATATAAAGTTTCAATTTGATATCTTAATTATTTTTAAAAAACAGTTTTGGTTATCTAATATTAATACTGTATTAACAAAACTAACAAAGTTAAATTTGGAAGGATTAAAAAGTCAATTAAGTGACTAAAATAAAACATGCCTAAAATTAACCACAAAAGACACACTTTTGTCTAATTGTTATGACATGCAATTTTCTGATCATTGATTTTGTATCTGCTTTTATTAATTACTTATAGGTATTTTTATATAAATCGGGACAAAATTTTTCTCCTCACAAATCATAATTGAAAAAGCTCCTTTTAAATGTTTTAATCACCGTTAAGTTTGCTAATTATTGTAAAGAAAAGGTTCAACCTGGCAATTGATACCCTGCTCATGATTGGAAAGTTAGTGGAGCCCGAAGTTTCGTTTTATATGCTGATAAAGCAAGCATTAAATTTGTTGCCTTGATTTTTCTTTAAAAAAAAATATTTTGGTTAGATTTGTTGTCATGATTATGCTATTAGAATTCCTAATCACCGCAAAGTGTGCGCGTGCTAGGACCACAATCTTCACAAATTTGAATCCTATTATTCATCCGAAGACTTTATTCAATTTGCTGGAATGTTCTTGGCACTGTATTTTTATCTATTACTAGTACTACCTCTATAAACATATAAAATCTAGTTTGCGTTGAGTAATACTACAGTACTGACAGGATACGCAATACTTATCATTATCTAATAAAACCATTGCGTGAAATTAGTCCAATTGGTGAGAAGGTAACTCAAAATTTATAAGATCATGAGTTTAAACTTTGATTTGCTAATGTGAATAGCTTGTTGGTGCACAATTTATAAATACTACTCTGGTTCTTATTGTTAGTCACTTGTAAGAGTTTCTCATATATCAATTAGAACATTAAACAGATGAAATCTTTTGCTTTTGCCCTTATTAAAGAGATATGGAGCCAAAACACTGCTACAGTTAATTAATTGTTTATTATAATCAATAGGGGCAAAATTGAAAAGAAGTACTCCTCTTATCTTTAATATAAGACCCAATTCTTGAATTGGTTTTGGTCCTAAATATAAGACTCATTTATCATATTTATCAATTTTCTCTAAATTACCCCTATGGATACTCCTTCAACCATAATCAAGTAGAAGAGTGAGAGGGAGTATTAAAAAAGATGATTATGGTGTTTTAGAAAAAATGCGTCACTTTTCTTATAATTAACTAACTTATCTAACTTCTTTAATTTAATCAAATTAGTTAAATGGGTATTATATTAAGGACTGGAAGAGTATTAAATAATGTACAAGTGACTACCAATAGCCTCATAGCATAAGCTCTCCTTGTAAGTAGGAGATCATGAGTTTGATTCCACTTGTAACTTCAGGCTATTAGTATATTTGTCCCTTTAATTAAAAAAGAATAGGTACAAGTAACTTACATTTAGGACTAAAATCTCCATACAAGTGACTAACAATAAGGATCAGAGTGGTATATCGGTAAGCGTTCTCCAAACCCAGAGATATGCCTCGATTCTATCGAGTCTTTAGACCTAGCTAAGCTAAATTTTATGTAATAATGATTAAAAAAAAGAACAAATGTTTTTATTGGTTATAAAACTAATATTTTTTATAACAAAATTGTTTTTATTTGTTTCAATATATTAATCTTTAAATAGATGATTGAATAAAACACTTTTATTTGTATCAATGTAAATAAATTATATATGGAGGGATTCATTTATCATATTTTGTAAACATTCACCTAATTATTAGGAAAAATTGGTTAAAAATCCCCCTTCAACAAATTAATTAGGAAATGGGACCCGCAATAAAGGTAAAGGTGTGAGCTCCTCAAGTGTTAGCAAGTATGATAGAAAAAAGATCACACCACCCTGGGAGTGCTAATTACATATGATGAATTTTTACTTATATAGCACGGATGCTCATATCCTCATTTCAATATAATAAATTATCACTTGCATATGACTAATTGCATATGATGCTCATTTTCATATAATCCATTGCATATGACGAATACTCACTTGCATATGCAAAGGATCCTTCATATGCAAGTGAACATCTATCATATGCAAATGAGCATTCATCTTACATAATAAATCCATATGTGATTAGTAGGGATCCGTTATATGCAAGTAAGCATCGGTTATATGTAATTAGCATTCATATTATGCTATTAACTTATATGCAAATAGGCATCTGTCATATGCAAATGAGCATTGTCATATGTAATTACTATCTGTTAAGGCAATGTGATCTTTTTCTTATCAAACTTATTGATACTTGAAGGACTCACAACTTTATATTTATTGCAGGTCATATTCCTCAATTAATTTGTCAAAGAAGATTTTAAACCAATTTTACCTAATTATTATCATTATTTTTATACTGTATTTATATACTAGTGCTTAACTTTTTCCTCCTTTAAAGTAAGGGAGTAGCGAAACTGGCAAGGTTTGTTTTTTTATTCTGAAGCTGAGCTGTAACTTTCAGGCTTATGCCTGTCTTTGACGTTTTGCATGTGTTTGTGTGACCATATGATTCTGTCACTCTGTTCAGCTATTGTCTTTCCTAACAAAGAAATTATATTCAGCACTCAGGTGAAAAATAAAATACTAAATTTTTATAACTAAATTTTGATATTACGTTTTTAAAACTTTTTTTTTTGAAAATTCATATTACTTTAAAAAGCAGTACCACATTATTGTTGCTCATTGCCATTTGCAAGTAGTATTTTATATATATATATATATATATATATAATATGAATTGTGAGAGATGCGATGTGTTCTACTATCTTTTTTGAGTTGCGTGTTTCGTATTTTTGTAAGTATTTTTTCTGCCAACGTATTTTTATAGGTATTGTAGGAGTATATTTGTATTAAAAAGGTTTACACAATACTTACATGTAAGTATTTTACATGTTTATTAATTTTTTTCTCAAATTAATTCTATTAATATTTTTTTGAAAATAATTAAGTAGGAGAAAGAGGGAAAAAAATTAAAAAAAGATAATTAGAGCGTTTTAAAAAAATCATATTAACTAATTTAACTAATATTTTTAATCTATTTAAATTAGTTAATTATGTTTTACATAAAGGGTTAGAGGAGTATTCAATAAAAATCCCGTGGGATCAATATTCGATAAAATATGACACTATGACAGGGTCTTCTATTAATATATATATATATATATATGTTAAATTTTAGTATCTTATTTACTTGCTTATATACATATTCTTCCGATCCTAAATATAATACTCTTTTAGCAGTATAAATTACACAACGAAAGGAGTCTTATATTTAGGACCGGAAAATACTATTTATCTTTAACAGATGGGGCATGTATTATATATTTTGTAATTACTGACACGTACAGTAAAATTCTTTTTAATAAAAGGAAACGACCCGTGAGGGTAAATGAGGTTTCCAATGAAAGAAAGTTTGTCGTACTTATAATAATTGATTAATTAAAAATGCTAATGATCAAGTTAAGCAACATCACAAAAATTATTTTAATAATCTACAGTAGTGTAAGTGAATAAAATAACATTTTAAAAAAATTGGATGAGCATGATTGTCACTGTGCGACTTTTCCTTGGCCAAAAACAAAAAGGCCTGTTCTCTTCCAATCTGCTCATAAAGACTTCCTCTTTTGCACTTTTTTATAATTGAAAAGGGAAGAAATTGATTTATTTATTTATCTATTTTTTAATATTATTTTTAAACAGATTTTAATTAAAATGGTTAAAAAAAGACTTCAGCAGGCAGCGTCTTTCAGGACT